CCCTCATGCTTCTCTCTTGCAGGTCCATAGATATTTCAGAAGCTCAGAAGGTGCCGGGGTTTGTTTGCTTTATCTCTGCTGATGATATTCCTGGGAGTAACACAACTGGACTTGGTAATGATGAAACAATCTTTGCGAAGGATAAGGTATGGCTTGCATTTTTAACATATGAAGTTAGTGGAATGAGTATTTAAGTGTTAATTTGTGCACGTTCTTCCAAATCCATCATGTTGAAAGGACTATACATTTGCATGTGTTGGCATCATCCAATTGGCCAATATTTAGGACAATCAGTAAAGGGAGAGAATATGCTTGGTAGTACTTTTTATTTTCATTTAATGTTTATCTGTTTATTTAGTGGATGGCTGCTGTTTGTACATAGTAGAATGACTCCATGCCAAAGTGGCATTAGAAAAAGGCTGGTGATTGTATTTGGACTAACAATCAGATTCTTAAGGGTACGATATTGAGTTCCTTTACTAAAAGAAAATAAAAATACATTAAATAAACTAACCAGATAGAAATCACAATACCACCATTATATGTGTACTGATAATTCACTTATATGAAAGTCCATATATTGATTTCAACTATATATGGAGTCCTGCCAAAAAACAAGTTTCCAAACATTCAAGACAGCTGCTACAAAATCCATATACTTACAGAGTAGTTCTCAAGCAGTCACTTTATAATTCCAAATGTTGCAAATTAGAAGTGGATCGGTCTTGCTGAAGGGCAAATTCACCTTATTATTGCTGTAAAAGTGAAGAAGCAAAAGAAAAACTGTAGACCCAAGGCACAAGGACTCCAGAGGGAGAGCTTTTGATAGAAAAACCAATTGCTTTTCAAACTCCAAGAGCCCCATGAGCACGGCTAGCATGATGGTTAGTGAGAGTCATTCAGGTTCAACAACCATTGCACTAACCAATTAAGTCAATAACTTAACAGGGTCCTCAAGAAAAAATGATCAGAGACAGGCGTATACTAAGTATTGGTTCCTATTGTCAGAAACCTCATTTTCCAAAGAGATGAGTTAGACAAATTTTTTGTTTGTTGCTTATTTTGGGGAGCATGTTGAAAGAAAATTCTCTCTGAAGGAGAGAATTAATCTTTTATAGGAACTGAACTATTAATTAAAAAGAATAATTATTCTACAAATCTAATGAGTCATCAAGTCTAAGAACTAGCGTTTGGAAACTACTGCTTCTGGGCACCTAAGTAAATATGGCATGATGGCTACCTTTGAGGAGCTGTTGGTATGAATCTGGCAAACAGAAGATGAAAGAGAGTGGGTGGTGGAAGGAAAATAAAACTGGGAGTCAGGGCCCAAGATTTAGTCATGGACTGGGAACAAGCCAATTGTGATCTTGCTGTCTGGGTCTCCATCTCTTTGTGTGAAGAACAAGGGGGTTGTAGTAGATCTGAGTTGACAGATACAGGTCATGCTGCCATATCTCCCATTCTGCTGCTCAAGGCAGACATCACTAATCAATCACCACATTCTATCCTGGGCAGCTTCTCAACAGGCTGTCAGAACTAAATCATCAGAATTGGCCCTTGAGATGAAGTGAGTTTGCCATCCCAATACCAGTCATCTCCAAGTTCCTTTCTACTCCCACAGATTCTAAACACTTATAAAGGAGCACACAACCCAAATGATAGAATAAGGACGCGAAAAGGCCCCAGAGCATTCCTAAGATGTGTCTTAATAGGAAATTGTGGGGATGGGGGACTTCCTTTTTGCTCTTTTGAACAATTCAAAATAATTGGCTTTTTGAGGAGTTTTGTGGTGTTCTTCAATAGTCTGGCTCTACTCCTAGGTGACTTGCGTTGGGCACATCATTGGCGCCGTGGTCACCGACACCCCAGAGCACGCACAGAGAGCAGCTCAAGGAGTGAAAATCACCTATGAAGAACTTCCAGCCATTATCTCCATTGAGGTAATGAGAATGGGCTGCCTGTGGAGAGGGGTGAGCCCCCTGTCTCTGGAAGCACACTGTTTAGGATCCTCTAGTGGAGATTCTAGCACCGGGTGGGATTTGACGAGATAGGTTTTTTAATCTCTTCCGGCCCTGGGATTGAGTGGTCCTGTGAAACCTAGACTCGGTCCACTAACTGTTAGTGCCTAACAGCCACACTCAGTCCCTCCTACCCAAGTTCAGCTCCATTTGGGCCCTTGAGGGATTCTTTGCTTTTCTTCAAGATCTAAGGTCATCTACCTCTGTCTAAGGCAGTGGTTCTCAACCTTCTGACCTTTTAAATACGGTTCCTCATGTTGTGACCCAACCATAAAATTATTATTATTATTTTTTTTTGCAATTTCTTTTTTTTTAATTTTATTTTTTATTACAAAGGGTATTACATATGTGTCCATTTTTTCCCCCCGCCCTAGACAGTCCCCTAGCCTCCCCTATTCCCCAGTGTCTTATGTCCATTGGTTATGCTTATATGCATGCATACAAGTCCTTTGGTTGATCTCTTACCCCCCTACCTCCTGCCCCCGAACCCTCCCCGGCCTTCCCAATGCAGTTTGACAATCTGTTTGAGGCAGCTCTGCCTCTGTATCTATTATTGTTCAAAAGTTTATAATGGTCTCAATTATCCATGAATAAGTGAGATCATGTGGTATTTTTCTTTCATTGACTGGCTTATTTCACTTAGCATAATGCTCTCCAGTTCCATCCATGCCGTTGATAAAATTATTTTTGTTGCTACTTCATAACTGTAATGTTGCTACTGTTATGAATCATAATGTAAATAAGTGATATGCAGGATGGTCTTAGGCGACCCCTGTGAAAGGGTTGTTCGACTGCCAAAGGGGTCGCGACCCACAGGTTGAGAACCCCTGGTCTAAGGAACGGGTTGACTTTCTGGGCTCCACGTGAGCTTACTTTAAATCTGTAGGAGAAGATTGCAGAGATGCCTGTGTGAAAAAAGAGGAGCCACCATTCTGGGAGCTTCTCTTCCGCGCTCAGAAACCACCTCCCTCCCTCTGAAAGTCCGGTCGCTAAAGCTTCTTTTTGATCCTCAGGATGCGATAAAAAACAACTCCTTTTGGGGGCGGGAGCTGAAGATCGAGAAAGGAGACCTCAAGAAGGGGTTTTCGGAAGCAGATAACGTTGTTTCAGGTACAGCTGCACATGCAGCAGTGGGGCGGGGCCGACCCTGGCTTGTGAATGAAATTCAAGAGCTGTACCTTGAGTCTTGGGGCAGGGAAGGGATTTCCTATCATTTCCGAACAGAAGAATTCCTCTGGTGTTTGTAACAAAATAGTAGACAGTTGGCTGGGAAAGAACTTCTGTCATTCTCCACTCCCTGACTGTAGGCTGGAGACACCTAAATGATCTAGAGAGAGATTAGTGTCGTGTATTTGAAAGACTTTCTGGGGAAGGTAACAGCCGCAGATGCCTGGTCAGCTTCGGATCTGCCAGGCCTTTAACCACGTGGACTCCTAGCCCTTCCCCTCCCCCCACAAAGGCCGTTCTCACCCATCTTCAGCTAGCACTCTCCCTGCCCCCCTCCTTCTCCTCCACCATCCACACTGTGAAATCAGGTGCATAGCTTTAACCCCAGGGCAAAGTTGTGAGTAGATAGGCCCCTTTCGGAATTTTCTATGTTTCTAAGTCACTAGTAAGTTAACTCACTAACTGGCCTGATAGCTTCCGTTCTGGAAGGTATTTTTAGCTTTCCAATCACCTCTATTAATTCTTTCTTTATCTTTTCCAAAGTTTTACAGTAATAGTTTGAGTCTCTTCGATTTCTACTGGCTGCAGCATGAAGAGAGCTTCATGCCTGATGCATTTCAGTGTCATTCTGGTTTCTTGGTTGAGGTGGGGGGTTCAGCTCCCAGATTGCTAAGACTGAGACAACTTTTCACACCAGTTGGGGAGCCTAGAGGTTACCTGTGAGCACTTGATTCTTGCCTTGGGCACTTGGCAAGTACACACTCGTCTTAAGCAAACATGTCCCCTCTGCAGCAGCAGGCTCATTGTGGGGGTCTTGTTGCTTCCCCAGGTGAGGTGTATATTGGCGGCCAAGATCACTTCTACCTGGAGACTCAGTGCACCATCGCTGTCCCAAAAGGCGAGGCAGGAGAGATGGAGCTCTTTGTTTCCACACAGAACACCAATAAGACCCAGGTGGGTGTCCTGTGGGTCAGCTCGGGGGCCTGGCAAGGACACCAGGGAGCTCCTGGCATTGTGGGAAATGGGAAGAGGGAGACTTGGGTTGGTCCAGAAGGGAATTAGAGAGTAGTGGTCCTGGATCAGACCCTGTTACCAACAAGCTGGTGTCACTGAGCTTGTTATAAAATCATTCTCTTCTATAAAATAGGGTCTGGTAGGGTTGGTGTAATGAATAGATGGGTCTTAATACTTGGGTAGAGCCTAGTGTTAGCTATTGTGATTCCAGTGCTATATGGCCTTGGTCACATTGTATCTGGCCTAAGCTTCCTCGTCTGTAGAATGAAGGGGTTGGGTGATAGCTACAGGAACCACTAAATTATCTGCAGCAGCTTAAATAGCCCTCACTTCTATACTGCCTATTATGTGACAGTGGATGCCAGCGTTTTTTCGCAGCCGGTTCTACACTCATGACCTACCAGTTCCTGGCTCAATGGAATGAATTTTGCTCTGAAAGTAGCTGTGACTAGCTGCTTGCCCCTCTGGTTAAAAGCAAGTGCCTGAATTCAGTCTTCAGTGACTGATTAATGTTGGATCCCAGCATCACTACCCAAGGGTCAGCACGGGAGGAAGAGGGACTCTCGAATCTGGGAATTTCAGATTCACAGCAGTAATTAGGCCTGTTCTTATCAGGCAGGCTTTGGGTGAAAGCTGAAGTAAGTCCAGATGATGTGTTCAGAGCAAGTATGTTTTCTTTTGCCCACAGAGCTTTGTTGCAAACATGCTGGGGGTTCCAGCAAACCGGATTGTGGTCCGAGTGAAGAGAATGGGAGGAGGCTTTGGAGGGAAGGAGACCCGGAGCACCCTGGTATCCACAGCAGTGGCCCTGGCTGCATACAAGTGAGTCCTCCCCATGGGCTCTGGGAAGAAGAAGGCTGCCTCTGCCAGGAAGGTTTCCTGGATTTCCCTCTGTGGGAAGTAGATTCTCTTTGCTTTTCGTTTTCACAGCCTTTGGTTTTTAGAACATTTGGGCATGGGGTGAAGATAACATCACGTGGTTCTTAGTGTTCTGATGCCTGTGTCCTTATCTCCCAACCTGGCTGGGAGGGCCCTGAGGGCAAGGACACTGCTCACATCCTGCATTCCCCACCTTGTCGGGCCCAGGGCCTAGACAACAAAGCCGGGGTGCTGAGTGTACCAGTGGACAAAGAAGACTTCCCTGCTGTTTTCACCCCCGAGAGTCACAGGGCTGGGCTGTTGGGGGGACCCCAGTTTTCTTATCCTTGGGTGTTTCCCTCAGGACTGGCTGCCCTGTACGCTGCATGCTGGATCGTGATGAGGACATGCTGATCACTGGCGGCAGACATCCCTTCCTGGGCAGATACAAGGTTCCAGATGTTGGGGGTTGTGCCAGGGCAGGCAGTGCCACCTCCTTAGGATGGACTCTCACTTTTCTTAGGACTATCTGTAAAAGTTGCAAGAAGAAATAGCCACTGGAGACATTCATATTGGCCAACATAGAGGGGTGATGCTGTGGACACTGGCAGGCCTCCTAGTGTCACAGGGTGGTGGTCCCAACTTCTATGAAAGTTTTTGTCCACTCAGGTTCAGAAACATAATTGGTCAGCAGACCTGGGAAAATCCTTCCGGCAGGATGGTCTAATGTTAACGTGTTCACAGCTGGTTGTGAAAACCAGAATGACTACTTAGTATTTTACAATGAGAAACAAAACTTCCCAGGGCCTGGACAGGTACAAGTTGTTAGAGGCACACGTTGGTAGGGTGGGCACCTGCTTTGCTAGATCATGTGTGGCTGGGCATTGACCAATTTCCCTGTAAGACAGGCCTTTTCTGGGCTCCTGTGGGTGACCAGTTCCTGTTCTGACCCTGAATCCTGTCCCCTTGCACACCAGTACCACCTTTCAGGTTCCAGTCTAGCTCTGTGAACTTGGGCGTCCTCTCTCTCCACGAGCTGGCTTTGAACACCCGAACTTTGAACTCTTCTCATTGTTTCATGATTGAACTTCCCCAAAGGGATTATATTTCTCTTAATTCTTGTGGGCTTAAAGAAAGTAACTTGGTTTTGGGGGGTCCCAGTTTCTTTACTTATCAAGTGACTCTTAAGAGTTTGTTTCAATGATTACGTAAGGTGAGGGGTGTCAGAGCACGCTGAAGCTCTTGTAAAGTGTAGCTTTTATTGTTTTCTGGTCAAAAGCTATGAGGAGAGACACCAGCCACTTTCCCAGTTTCTTTTCCCAGTCCTTCCTGCCTGCCCTGTCATTACCAACACTATATTTTCTATGTTTTTCCAGGTAGCAAAAGTGGGAGGGGAGAGGTGGAGATAGACAGGGGTAGAACCAGAAGGTAGGAGTAGGTAGAAAGGAGGAAGAGTGTGGGGAGAAGGTGTTCCAGGGTTGAGCCCAGGGTACGACCCTGGGGAGATGTTAGTTCCTTTCTTCTGGTTCTGATGATGTCTTATGTTCACCTTTTTCATGGTGTGGTGTCTTGCTCTTTCTGTTTCCCCCAGGCAGCGTAGGTGGGAGGGGAGAGGTAGAGATAGACAGAGCAAGGGGACTGTTGGGAAACCACTCTCTTTCTCATCAGGTTGGCTTCATGAAGACGGGGAGGATTGTCGCCCTGGAGGTGGAGCACTACAGCAATGCCGGGAACTCCGTGGATCTCTCTAGGGGTGTAAGTAGGGCCTCTTCCTGCATGTCGGGGTGACTGGGAGCTTAAGTGCGTGCCCCCCGCCAACCTATTCATACAGCCAGGTACACACCTCCTCCATTCTGGCCTGTTATGTTGCAATAGCTTCCCAACTGGTCCCTGCCTTCAAAGATTCCCCATCCTTGGTTAATCTCTAAAGCACAAAGATGAGCCTCTTTCTTCTCTGGTTGGAAACTCATCCTTCGTGTGCAAGATATTTTAACAAGCAAGCAAAGTTAGTTACAAAGCTTCATATATAATATTGGTGACATTGTGTGTGTGTGCACGTATGTCTAGCAACATGCATGGAAAAGTCTGAAGGAGATACACCAAACAGTGATTGGGGGGGGGGTTAAGGGGGCAGAGGGGGACACACACTGTCATTTTCTACACTGCACATTTCTGTGATATTAGAATTTTAAATAAGGAGTTGAGTTACTTTTTAAAAAACAATTTATTGAGATATGGTTTACATACCATAAAGTTCACCCATTTGAATGATATAATTTCATGGTTTTAAAGTCATGCACCGTCATCACCATCCAGGTTCTGAACATTTCGATCACCTCCAAATGACCTCTTGTGCCCATTTGCAGTTACTCTTGTTCCCATGCCCAGGACCAGACGTCCACTAATCCACTTTCAGTCTTTGTAGATTTTCCTTTTCAAATAACTGGAATCATGCACTGTGTAGCCTTTGGTATCTGACATTTTTCTCTCAGAATAATGTTTTTGAGTTCATCCATGTTATAGCATGCGTCGTTCCTCCATTCATTTTTATTGATAGATAATATTTCTTGATATAGACCATATTTGGTTTTCTATTAGCTACTTGTTGAACATTTGGTTATTTCCAGTTTTTAGCTTTTGTGGCTAATGCTGCTTTGAACATTCTCCTAAGAGTCTTGTACAGACACATTTTTGTCAACCTTAAAAATTAAGTTATCTTGGTGGTACTCCTTTAAAGTTTTTTTTTTTAAAAAAACCTTAATTTTATAACCATACTAGTTACATGTGCATAGATTCTTGTTGTAAAGAAAAAGTCTTCTCTAGCTGGTTTGGCTCAATGGATAGAGCATTGGCCTGTAGACTGAAGGGTCCCGGGTTCGATTCAGGTCAAGGGCACATGCCTGGGTTTGGACTCCATCCCCAGTAGGGAATGTGCAGGAGGCAGTCAATCAATGATTCTCTCTCAGCATAGATGTTTCTATCTCTCTCACCCTTCCTCTCTGAGATCAATAAAAATATATTGTAAAAAAAGAAAAAGTCAAACATTTCAGGAAAAGCAGAAGTTTTTTACTATCTGCCTCCCCAACCCCTCCCTGCTAGGAGCACTCTAATCGGCTCAATTAGGAAACTTCACACTTCAGCTCTGCTATAAAAATTGTTCAAAAAAGGAAATATTTTTAGTGTTCTTACAGTTCATAACACTGGCTTCTTGGTGTTGTAGAAAAATCAGATTGAAAAAGATGTACTACTTGTCCCCAAAGATTTTACAAGCTTTTAAATTCAATCCAGCAAATATTTATCAAGTGCCTAGGGTGGCAACATGAAAAAGCATATAGCATTGTTTCTGCCCTCAGGAAGTTCCAGCATGGTGAGGGAGACAGATAATAACAGACAAGAGAAAATAAAAGTGTAAGTTGATAGCATGCAAAGGAAAAGCAAAGAGGGAATTGAGACATACAAAAATTGTTTAGGATGACTGGGACTGAAATAATTAGACAAAAAAAGCAACCTGTGGGAAAGAGAAACTATGTGAGGAAGTAAGCTAAAACCCAAATGAAACAGCCCAGCTGGCGTGGCTCAATGGTTGAGCGTCTGCCTATGAGAGAGGAGGTCATTGTTCGATTCCAGGTCAGGGCTTGATCCCCAGTGCGGGTGTGCAGGAGGCAGCCGATCAGTGATTCTCTCTCATTATTGATTTCTCCCTCTTCCTGCCTCTCTGAAATATATATATATATATCTCAAACTAATAAAACCCACACCCAAATGAAACAAATAAAAGCTACCATTTATGGCTTCAGAGAGATGAGTTATTACACCTTAAGGAAAGAACAGTATGCTATAAAAATGGACCAGCCAGAGAATAAAAATGAACTGCTGTGAATCATAACTGTGGAAGCAGAAGTTTTGAAAGAACATGGAGGAGCTCTGCCCCCAAAAGAGAAAATAATGTGGAAATAAAAGGAGAGAAAATACAAAAAAAATTTGAGAGCCAGTCCAGAAGATCTATATAGTAGAAATTCAAAAGGGAAGAATGGAAAAAAGAGAGAAGGGAACTCTCAAGAAGTAATTCAAGCAGTGTCCCCAAACTGATGAGCATACATTTTTAAGTTGACTTAGTGATAAATGCCCAGAGAACTAAGCAAGTGGAAAAATAAGGACAGAAATTATAAACTCCAGGGGGAAATGTTATCAAGCAAGAGAAGTAATCATAGCATTAAACCGACTGTTGATCAGATAGAAATATAACTATATGGGAAGGACAGGGCCCAGGAAGTAGGTGTGCATTCAGGGGAAGTGGGTTTGGTGGAAATTAAATCCTCAAAACTCGAGAACCGAAGATGGCGGCATAGGTTAACACCAGAGATTGCTGCCTGGAACAACTAAGTCAAATTAAGCTTGATCCAGGGAAAGGACAACGTCCAGAGCCACAGGAGGGCTGGCTGAGTGGAAATTCTACAACTAGGAGTAAAGAGAATATCATATCCAGACTCAGAG